GCACATCGTCTGGTGCATCTTGATGTTCAGTAGCATCACCGTATTCAGGGGGCACATAGTTGTCATTGTACTCTTCTTCATCGCCGTCTTCCATCATAACCCCTATTTCTCCGTGCCTCGTCCAAACATTATAGTGTGGCATGAAACCCTTGTAAAGCAGGTGGGTGTGAAGGATTTTCCGATCAGAGTAAGACTTCGTATTCCCACATATAGGGCATGGACAACACATAAAACCATTCTGCTTGTTTGCCTCAGCCACTTCGAGAAAATCATGCACCCCCTTAATGTACTCGGAGGTGTGTCTGTCACCGTACATCCATTGCCGGTTCATCTACGTGCATTATATATAATTAAGTGTGTCAAAAATCATTACAGAACATCATGAATAGATAATTATAAGTGACCAAATTAATAGAAGTTCATCATCACATAAAAACCAAAGTACATACATAGTTCTCATCTAACAACATAAAGCTCTGCAGAGCATCTAAATCAATTAAACCATACATTGAAACTATGTAAAACATTTCAATGAGAAAACAAATGCGATCATAATCGCAACCAAGGTAACAACTGATCCAACGGCATAATGATACCAAGCCTCGGTATAAATGGCATATTTTCTAATCTTTCTCATCTTCAAGCGCATTGCATCCATCTTGATCTTGTGATCATCGACGACATCCGCAACATGCAACTCCAATATCATCTTCTCCTCCTCAAGTTTTTTTTATTTTTTCCTTCAAGAAATTCTTTTCTTCTTCAACTAAATTTAACCTCTCGACAATAGGGTCGGTTGGAATTTCCGGTTCAACAACCTCCTAGATAAATAAAATCTATGTCACGTTAGTCGGCATAATTTTCATAAACAATAAATGAACCAATAGTTATGAAAAGATAATATATACCACATCCGAATCATAGACAGGACGAGGGCCGACGGGGGCGGATACCAAAACCATCGCACTATATAAGATGCAATAATAAAAGTAAGAAAATAATACAAGTATCTATCTAAACATACAAGTAAGAATGTTTTTCCTTTCAGAAAGAAGATAAGAACAAGAGGCTCACCACGGTGGTGTCGGCGATGAGATCGGCGCGGGTGATCGACGGCGGTGAAGACGGGGACGGGACGTGACGGACCGCTAAACCTAGATCAATCTTGAGGAAAACGGAGCTTGGCGGTCGAGCTTGGAGAGGAGAAACCTTAAGTACTGTGGCTCGGGCATTCCATCGAACACCTTGTGTGCATAGGAGGTGAGCTAGAGCACCACCAAGCCCTCTCCCCCTCGGCCAGAAAAAATAGAGCAGTGTGCTTTGCTCTTGCGCGAGGGGCTATATATAGGCAGCACCATTAGACCCGGTTGGTGGCATGAACCGGGACTAAAGGGCAGCCTTTGGTCCCGGTTCGTGCCACCAACCGGGACCAATAGTGGTGGGCCAGGAGCCAGGACCATTGGTCCCGGTTTGTCTCACCAACCGGGACCAAAAGGTCCGGACGAACCGGGACCAATGGCCCACGTGGCGCGGCCGGCCCCCTGGGCTCACGAACCGGGGCAAATAGCTCCATTGGTCCCGGTTCTGGATTGAACCGGAACTAATGGGCTAAACTGGCCTGGACGAAAGCCCCCTTTTCTACTAGTGTGAGCGAAAGACAAGGAAAGGACGGGCTGCGCGGGGTGGACGTCCATCCACTCGGGATGGCTCAGATCGGCACAGGTAGATGGCTGAGCCGCACCGATTTTCCTGTTCCGCAGAAGACGTCAACGACGGTCGTCACATTAAATTCGCCAGCTTTCTCGCGTTTTTCAGGCTCGCTACCGTCGAAATATTGCGTTTAATACGCCAGACATCACGGATCTACATGCGAGCGGACAGAAGGGATATCGGAATCATCTGAACCCGAGCTCAGAATCGAATTTTCGCTACCTTATGCTTTTGTTTATCTTTCTCATTTGTGATGACTATCTTGACTATAGCATGTACTTCTCCGCGCGGAGCAATACTAACTAAAAAAAGCATAGTTAACTTGTCACAAGTGTGAGTAAAATATGGGAAAGTGGAAGGACCAGTAGCAGTGCCTGCCACTACCATGTGGGCCCAGTCCTACTTGTCAGTGGGCACATCTTTGCTTCGGCGCCGCATTTTCTTATCAAAATTTCATCTATCTCCTTTTTTGATGATTTGTTTCATGCATCGGAAAATTTTAAAAGCACTAAAGAAATATGCAACTTGCGCAATTTAATCAGGATTACGTGAAAATTCAGCTAGACTAGCCACCCCTTTCACAGATTCACTTTACAGTAAGAAAAAAGTTGGCACCATAGTTTCTTCTCAGGAACAAATGAAAGCACAAGTCAAAAGTATAGATTAAATTAATTGTGTCCTATCTTTTCACACACTCTATCGTTGTGGTTGGCCTCTAATTAGATGAATAGTAACTACCACTCCTACCACTCACTCCCTACAATGTCACCACTCACCAGATTCTACTGATTACTTTCCGAGTAGGAAACCTGCCACCTGTGCAGGAAAGCATCCACAAGTGGCATGCATGCAGTGATCATATGTGTGTTTGCCACTACCACATGATTCTTTTGAATATGAGTGTCCTAGTATAGACAGTGCCATCGTGGAGCCCAACTGAAGAAAGCTATAAAATGTGATACCACACGTACCTGGCTTAGAATAGGAGGGGGAATAAGCTATGGGTAACTCCTCCATGCCAAAATGAATATATCATAAAGGAGGATGGGTTCTATTTTGAACTAGATAGGAGGTGAAGGCTAGAGGAAGAAGAGAAGTGTGCCTTCCTGGTCAGGAAGAGGATAAAACAGACGATGTCATCTATCGCGACAAGTTTCCTGAGGCATTGGAAAGGAAGACCGACGTAGGAAATCACTGGCGTGCTTTCTCCCTCTACCGTTTTGCCGACAAAGAAGTCATCCTTGACTTGACGATTGACAATTTCATCCCTAACCTATCTGCGACCCTACCCTTCCCTTAATTACTGACAGTTCCATACACTCACGCACAAAAAATCCACTATTGGCACACATTGTCGTATGCACGACCAGATTCATAGCAGAGTTAAAGTTATCCACACAGAATGCACACGGTATCAGAGTAGCTGCAACCCCACCATGCATGCTTCCCTGAGCCTCTAGCGCCGCACCACCACGCTCGTCGCAATTGGCCCCAAGAGACATGTTCGTGACTAGTGATTATGATGCCCATGGAACATGAACACCAACAATCTGCATCGGTGATGGTGGGGAACTAAAGTATGGTGTTGATATGGGCATCCATGATGTGCAATCTCATATGCACCTTTATTGCGTTATTCAGCAAGGCCTAACAAAATAAATAAATGAATCGACCCAAAGCCACTACCCTAGCGAAAGGTGTCGCCCTACCTACAAGGTTGATGACGTGCTCTGACCTCGCGTCAACGCACATCAGGAAATCTAGTGGCCTCACCAAGGTGCACGCCGGCTAGCCGGGAGCACCAGCCGGTCTAGCAGACCCTTAGTATGCACCGCATGCACATGTTGCAAGAATCCGTCACCGCCATCTTTCGTCAGCCCATGCTCTGGAGTAAGCAATGCATTGATCTTGCACGACCCTTCCGCCGTCGATGACACCACGACACCATGCAGGACCATCCTCTTGCGCGAGCCCAGCAAGCGGTATTTAGCGCCGAGACCCCGCCGCACCTTGCCATCAAGACTCGCCGTCGTCGATACTGTAGATGCTATGCCGCTCCACCTTGATCAGCGCATGAGACGCATGCAGAGACCGCCCAGCCACAAAAGCCGCACACTTGTCCCTCCAGCCGATGTACTGCGCCAAAGATGATGACCCCATGGGGACAACAAGACAGGATCCTCCCCATTCCGATCCGGAAATAGAATTTGTGGCTATCCCCCGGGGATGAAGGGAACGTGAATCGCTCCACAACGCTTTCAACTAGGTAACCACTCCCGTGAGTGCCGCAGTTGACCGTTCCGACCGAGGCCGAACAAGGCTTTCGTTGGCAAACTTATCCCAATACCGGCTAGACCACCTGATCCTCCTCTACTGTCGTCCAGCAAGACCCATGGGGACGTCCTTGCTGCCGGGAAAACATCGGAGCCGCAGCAGTGTCACCACCGCTCGAAACTACTGCCTCCCCTGGGTGAGCCATTGACGGCAGAATAGTCCTCATCGCTACTCCGCGGACACCAGACGACTCACACGTCAAAGCAGGACACTCGCGCGGATCTCCACCGCAACCACGTGCCGGTGCGATGGCGGAGGAGGGCCCCATCGACGCCATCATCCCCCGCCTAGGCTTTGCCCGTTGGCGGCAAGGAGAGGGTCGGCGGCCAAAATCCTAGATCGGTTCCGGAGGGTGGGGGTTAGGAGGGAGTATTATTTGTAGTCATGTTATGCATAGGAATTTTAGTCAAAAGGGGTGTCTCAAATCTCTTTGGCCGATCCACTTTATAACACGAAATGAGTTGGCACTACAAGTCTTCTTTCTTCTTCTAGGGAGCAAAGCACGAGTCAAACGAAGTAAAGCGTGTCCCGTCTTTTCACACACACAAATATACATGTTTAATCTCTAGGAAAGCAGACATTAAGCTGCTAATTCCACCACAGATCACTAGTGTCACACCAATGATTTGCTTCATTTCCACGAATCCGCGTAGTACTGGTACTAAGCTAAAAGGAGCCAAGCAAAGTTGCCACGCGTGCAGACGAAACATCCCAAAGTGGCCTGCCCGAGCCGTACCGGCGCCCGCCACTACCTCGTGGGTCCCGGCGTTACCTGTCCGCCGGCCGACTCTCCCCTTCCACCACCACGGTCACTTCCATGGCCTCTCCACGCTACAAAACCCTACGCAGAGCATCGCACACCCGCACGGCCTGAGACCAGAGTCAAAGCTAAGCTAATATATAGAGTCCACGGTCCAGAGCATACGGCGCACCATAGCCGCAGCAGAAGCGACACCATGCGCGCTCCGGCGAGCCTCTTGCACCGGACCGCCCTCGCGGCAGCCGGCACCAGCCAGACATCGTCGCCGTCGTCGTCGTCACCACCTCAGCAGCAAGAGCAGATAGCACCGGTGATGGCGGTGAACTCGGACATGGTGGTCATCATGGCGTCTCTCCTGTGCGCGCTCGTGTGCGTCCTTGGCCTCGCCCTCGTCTCCCGGTCCGCATGCCGGCGACGCCGCTCCGGCTCATCCTCTGACCACTCTCCTCCGCCTCCCAAGGGCCTCAAGAAGAAGGCCATTGACGCGCTTCCCACCGTTTCCTTCGCCGGCATCTCTTCTCCCATACCAGGGGCATGTTCGTCCTCTGAATGCGCGATCTGCCTGGCGGAGTTCACTGAAGGGGAGGGCCTGCGGGTGATCCCGCGGTGCAGCCACCACTTCCATGTTGCATACGTCGAAGCCTGGCTCCGGACATGCGCCACATGCCCCTCCTGCCGTGCCCCCATCATCGTTTCCGCGCCCGTGCAGCCACCGGCGACACCCACGGTGGTGGTTGTAGTGGCAGCAAACAATAGGTGCGGGAGGTGCGGCGAGGTGGCGGCGCTGACTGGTGGTGAAGATAGCACCATGGTCTTGTGTTAATTACTCCCTCCATCCCGAAATTCATGTCGCAGCTGTGATTTTACAATTTAGTACTCAGCCTTTTCCCGACCGAACCCGAAGTCCCTCTGCGTGGTCGCTCTCTTCCTCCTTCCTCTCCGACCGGCCGGCACCACCGACGCCGTTCCCCTCCGCGCAGCTCCACGCTGCCTGCGCCTCCTCCCCTCCCCCGCAGTTCCTCTCCCTCCCCAGCGCCGGCGCCCTCTCCCTTGCGCGCGTTACCGGCGCTCTCTTCCTCTCGCATGTCCCTCCGCATCGGTAAAAATCCGATTTTCCTCCTTCGGCTCTTCGATCTACAACGGTCGTGCTCAATCTGCGGCGGAGACTACCAATACGGCGCGACAGAGCTACTTCTGCCGGTCGCCTACACGGGGCTGCTGCTGCTGGTCGTCAGGTGAGGAGCTCATCTCCTGCAGCCGCGGCTACCTGGCCGCCTTCGTCATGCTCATCCAGCATCAACACAGGTCTGACTACGACGTGGCTACGGCCACGCAGCAGCGGCGGCAGGATGGTGGCGGCGAGCTCCGACATGTTCACCAACCTCAACGTCTGTTCCTCATCGGTATTGTAGATTCTTTGCTTGCTTACACAGATGCTTTCATATTGATTGGCCTCGGGACTACAGATTTTCTTGAGTACACGTTTGCTTGCATACTGATTTATTGCTTGCTTACAAATTTGCTTGAGTACTACAGATTCTTTGCTTGAGTAGAATTGATTGGGCTGCTACAATAGAATTGCCACAAAATAGAATTGGCCTCACTGCTGTAGATTCTCTGAAACAGATGTTGTAGAATTGGCCACACTGCCGTAGAATCTCTGTCACGGATGATGTAGAATTGTCCTCACTGTTGTAGATTTCTGATGTCCTTACCTGAAACTGAATATAAAGTCAGTTTAAAAGTCAGTCTCCTGATCTAAATATAAACTTTCTGAAACTGAGATTGAAACAGGTGCAGTCGTAAAAATTCACTTTAAAACTCAGTTAAAAATTCAATTTTAGAGCTTGGATCCCGATCTTTATATAAAGTGTACTACAAGCTTATTGCAGAAAGTTTAAAATTCAATCTAAAATTCAGTTAAAGTGCTCTGAATATAAAAACTCTTGGAGTAAAAATTCAGTCTAAATGTCAGTTAAAGTTTCAGTTTTAGAGCGTTGGGATTTTATTGCAAGTTTTGTACTGTCATACAGTAATTTTCAGTTTGTAAAATTGAGAAGTGTATTTTCTATTTTGAAACTTAGTGTAGCTATTTTCAATTTTGATGGAAAATCAGTCTAAAAGTTAGTCTAGACTGCATTTAATCAGAAAATGTTGCATCATCATGCACGCATGTATCCCCTACTTCATCACCATTCGTTTCACCACACCACTTGCTTGCTGATCTTCACAGGCATATGATGTGCACCCTTGGTCGCCCGGTCCGACGAACTGCTAACGAAACAACATGCAACGTCATGAGTGTGCTCACGTTCTGCAATCAAGCAACCGCCCTTCTCCGTTCTCCTCCAGCAGCAGCAAAAGGTTTTTGTAAGTGCATCTAGTGCCACCCCTAGTTGGTTTTGGAGTATTGACGACAAATGTGGTTGAGGGACTAATGCGTTTGTGAGAATTGCAGGATAACGCACGTAGTGTCCCTCATTGATTCGGTTTACCTACCGGAGATGACCCCTAAAAATGTATGAATACATCGAAGACAATGGTGGTATGTGAAGATATTCACATTGAAGACTATGACATGAGAAGACATTGAGTGAAGACTATGGAGTGCGAAGACTGTGTCGTTTCGTTGTTTCCTTTTCTTCTTTGTTGAGTCGTAGGAACCACCGTACTGTTAAGTGGGGTCCAAGTGATCATAGTCAGAATGACTGAAGTGATGCTCAACCCAAATCCTATGTCTTCGAGCGAAGACAATGAGAGCAAAACTTATCCAGAGCTGGATGAGTCAGCTTTGCTTGTAGCCCAAGTAAAGTTGCCGTGTGTGTTTGAAATCTGACCGTTGGAACACGTGTCAGTTCCTTAGTGACCCAGGGTCATTTCGGACATAACAGGTCGGGTTGCCTAGTGGCTATAAATAGCCCACCCCCTACACCATAAATTGGTGGCTGCTCAGAGTTAGTGCACGGCTTTTGTCGTTTGAGAGCAACCCACCTCGAAGCCTTTGAGAGAGAGAAATCCTTGCGAGGACAAAGCCCAAACACCCAGAGCCAAAGAGTGTTAGGCATCACTGAAGTCTTTCTTGTCTGTGTGACCTGAAGACTTATTACACTTGAGGACTGTGAATCCTCCAGCCGGTTAGGCGTCGCGTCCGACAAAGCCCAAACACCCAGAGCCAAAGAGTGTTAGGCATCTTAAGTCTGTTTTAAATGATTCATCCTTACTGTTGAAATCCGGAGAAGCCGGAACGACCATCCGACAAACCTGGCGTGCGTGGGAACGTGGGACATCTCATTGCATGTTGCATGCTTGCCACGTATCCCTCAGATGTGAACCGCCAGGGGCACCTGCGTAATTGCACCGTGCCGCACACCTGCTTATAAATACATGTCCCCTGCGGTAAAGAAAATCTTCTTCCACCTCTCCACCTCGTCAAAACCCTAGTGCCACCGCTAGCTCTCGACGACGCCGGCGACGAAGCGCTTAGCTGCCGCGACTTCTCCGATGCCGTCCTCACGCCGGCCGCGAACATCGTCATCTCCGCCGCCGCCGTAGGTGTCCTCCGTCGCCAAGTTAGGGCACGATGGACTAAACTGCTCGGCTTCCTCTTCTTCCCGTCTAGCAGTTCTTCGAGTGGTAAATATAACTCCATTTTTTTACCATCTTCTTGATCTTCAAGATTCATCCTACTCGCCAAAATTGGTTTCTGCCCATACTATGTTAGATCTATTCTGTCTGCATCTCGTACTGCCTAGTATATTCACTTAAGCTTCACAACTAGTTAGATTCCTCACTTGTACTTATTCACGGATTCGTACAAATCTGGAACCAACTCCCAGTGTATAAGTGAGTGTCTTCGCATCATGAGGTCAATGTCTTCAAACTGATTTATCTTCAAAATCTTCTGAGAATGCATATGACCTCTTCCCCTTACCTCGCATCTCTAACGCTGTCACAGGTACATGTCCGTGGGAGAATCCCTTGGTTCTCATAGTATGCATTCGTTTGCAGAATTCTTGCAGCATCAACTTAACTCTCCCGAAGCCAGTTCCTGTCTGTCCAGCAAACGCAAGCCCTTGAAGCCTTTGAACGTATTGAAGCCATTCAGTTTGAAATTCATGGCTATAGATAAATCAGTCAGGAAGGGCGGCAGACAGCGTCGTGGGGAAACCTCAAAGGATCTGCCTGATGACCTCGCAGAACTTTACAATATAGATCCTGAAGAGTCTTATGCTCAGCACAAGACACGAATCCAATGGATTCGATGCTATTGGGCTGAACAATGGTTCAAGTACAAGTTCGTCACCAAGGAATATGCTGAGAAGAGTGCTATCAAAAGCCCTTGGGGTGATATTCTCTTTCGAGGCCTTCCACCCAAGAATAGGGCTGAAGCTATTGCACAAGGTTTCTATCCTTGTATGGTCCGTGGACCTCAGCCTGAGAATGCCGACCCAACGTCATTGCTCTGGTGTCGTGATGATAATCTCTTCAAGTGCAACTTCCAGCACGCAAAGGCTTCTGCAAAGGAAAATAAGAAGTTATTGGGATTAGACTTCAACCCTGGTCCCTCTGCTCCCCGTGCTGACGGCTCACGTGACGCTGAACCCAATGTCATCGGTCCCTTTTCAAACCTTGATGGCCTCATCTCTTACATCTTGGTTCAAGGTGCCAAAGTGGATCACTCTGATGACGATGCTGATTCTGATGAAATCCCAGCTCCTGCTCCTGCTCCTGCTCCAAAGCCGCAGAAGCAAAAGAAAGTCAAGGCTTCAAAGTCAGCTGTTCCTCCAAAAGCTTCACGTGTGAAGCCACTGGCTACTGCACCTCCTGAAGTTAGTGTGCAGTCTGAAGATCAATCTCGTATCTCCAAGAAGACTGAGAAGAGAAAGAAAATTGTCAAGAACACTGAATTGACACTGACTCCTGCTGCCATTTTGCGCGAAGAGCACATTGATCTGTCCAGTGATGAAGATCTTGCAGATGATGCCCTTGAGCAACTGATCAAGAGCAAGGAAGAAGCAGAGATCTTCAATAATTTGCCTCTCTTTGATGTGGCAATCATCCATAACTTCATTGATGAGTGGTTTGACACACCAAATCTCAGCTTTGATGATCTGCAACTTCCAATTGGCCTCAGCGTCGCCTTCAATGGCGCCATTGCTTCTGAGCTAGCTCTTGCTCAGCGGATTGTTGAACTGAAGCACAAGATAGACTATGAGAAGGCTCAGTTCAAGAAGCATATGGCTGCACTCAACGTGCAAGACGTCAAAAACTTTGAGGTCATGCTGCACGACCTCAAGGAAACCTTTCTCAAGAAGTGTGAAGAAGCCAGAGGCTCTCGCGAGCGCATGAAGGCTCTGGCTGACAAGTGTGTGCTTGCCTATAATGAGGCTGAGAAGCGCAAAGCACTTGGCCGTCCTGGAATTGACCCCAGAATGGCTGCAAAGAAAAAGAAGTCTTCAACTGACCAAGCTGCACCTTCCAGGCAGGAAGAGCCCCACATAGTCTTCCCAAGCAGCATGACTGGCTCGAAGCCAAAAGTCAGGTCAACCACTTCTGAACAGAAGAAAACGAGGGCTGTCGAGGCTGAAGCCAGAAAAAGGAAACATCCTGAAGCCTCTAATACTGCTCCCTCCAAGAAGAAGCTCAAGACCAAGAAGAATCGGGCTGCTCCTACAGAGCCCTTGGTTGTTGAACCTATTTCTATGGTTCGCCCTGACTCTGCTACCCAAGAATGACGAATGATAGTTCATGAGCCTGCTTCCACAGAGGCTCATGAAGCTGAAGACATTCCAGCAGTTGACCCCATCGCTGCTGAAGACATTG